TTATGAACTGACATAGGATCGATGTCGTGTTGTTGTGCAACTTTGCGAATTGAATTACGCGGATCTTCGATAAAAGACTGTAGAATATTTAATCTTTTATCAGGATTTGTCGCTATTGCTGGTCTACCTTGTCTATTACGGTCTTTTACAAAATCCATTTCTTAAAAATGTTGTACAGTACGAATAACAATCCATTTAGATATATCATTGTCCTCATTCCTAAAAGTTTGATTGAAAAGTTCTGTCACATGTGCGTAAGACCTACTGTTGTGAGTATTGCGAGGAGAAAGTGGTACCGGAAACCAGGTCCGCTGGTGATGTCGGAATTATACGCGAACGATCACGAGACGTCAGAAGGTGTCTAAAACAAGAGAGTCAGAGCGATATACAATGCGATGTGCTGCTGAGCTTTATTCTAGATCAACTGAACAGGTCGTTAAGCGATAGGTACATACACACATCGCGAGATATCCTTCGCTTCGCGAGCACAAAGGAAGGTTGCGAGTGTGTACATCGTGTGACGCGAAGTAAACAGCTGATCGGTAGAAAAACTGTCATGAATCCTGACAGTGTCGGTACCGGTAACAAGCGCGGTTTAAGCAGAATAATTGTCGACGGAAATAATAACTGAGTTGAGTCTAAATACCTACGATCACTCCATCCTTGCATCATTAAAAGAGATATACGCTCCTGTTCAGTAAGCATTATAAAGTATTTTAAATAAATACTTTATAAACAAAGATAACTATGTGGCGATAAGCAATCTCAGAACGGAGTATCACGAAAAAGTATACCTTCTCAATCGCAGGTCACAGAAAGAGTGAACAGGAGAGATCTCTAGCTTATGTAGTCTCCAGCTTTGTTGAAAGCTTTGTGGGAAGGAGGGAGAGGGGATGGAAAGGAGTAAGAGGGAAGGAGGGAAGGAGAAGGAAAGGGAAGGAGGAAGGAGAAAGGAGGAGATAGAGATACAGACATTCGCGAGCACATACATGACCCATAAATCCAGTCAGGATATAAAAGCAATCTCTACGTAATACCTTAGATAATGCTAATGTCGGCGGTTCCGTAACTTTCTCTCATAACTCGAAAAGTATTGATTAAAAAGAGGCTTTATTATAGTGTTTTGGAAAGCTCCTGACCTCAGCTATTAGATTCAATAATAAAAAATAAGGTGTTTCGTTTAAAACGATCGACTTGGCCTTGGTGGCGCCATCCAAAGTCAAATTGATAAGGTCATTCAATAGATCATTTTCAACCCTACAACTTTTGTATAAAACATTTTTCTCAAAAATGATTACTTTTCAAGATATTTAAGGGGTCCGGGACTTTTCCTACACCCTGTATAATACAAATAATACATAATATATATAATCTATGTATTTTTTAAAGTATAATATAATTTACTGATTTTTTAAATAATAGTCTAATGGTATTTTTCCTTGGGACTGCGCAGTAGTGTTTCCATAAGAGTATAATGTTAAAATTATATTATATATTATATAATCAATAATAAGATTGAAAGACCGCTAATGTTAAACATAATGCTTTAAATTAAGAAGCGCCATAACGGTCAGAACGTTAAGATGTTGAACTATTGTAAATTCATTTAAATGAATTAAGGAGTCGAACCCGGATCTCTTGCATTCCGTGCGAGCGTCCTAAGCCTTTAGACTACCGAGACATTAGCATTATTCTTCGCAATAATTGATATGTATAGAGAGTTACGCATTTCTCGGCGCGCGTGTATAAACAATAATAAGATTGAAAGACCGCTAATGTTAAACATAATGCTTTAAATTAAGAAGCGCCATAATGGTCAGAACGTTAAGATGTTGAACTATTCATTTAAATGAATTTACAATAGTTCAACATCTTAACGTTCTGACCGTTATGGCACTTCTTAATTTAAAGTATATATTATATATTTGCACGGAAGCAGTGCAAATTTGAACATGTTCTTATGGAAACACTGTATGGGTGCAGTCCCAACGGAAAATGCTGTAAGAAGAACATAACCTATTTTCCCGATTTAAGTATATCTACCATTGCAAGGTGCGCATACGCGTTGCATCCTAGAATGTCTGTATGATGGTTGACTTAAAATCGGCTTACAGTCGTCTTTAAAGTGGGACATTGTATGACTCAGAGACGTCTCCAAGTCGTCTAAAGTCGACTTATGAACGTCCATTTTTCAGACGTTTAGAAGCTATAGTCGACTCGGAGTTGACTTAGAGTCGACTTTGTGCTGTTAGGGTAGTTTCATCCATGTATGAAACCACGTATAATACGTTGAGTTTGATACGTGTCCAACCCTGGCTACAGCTACCGGAAAAAACTACCCTCATTTTTCCCCACCACGCGTTACCAAGTGCGCAAGCCAGAATCTGGCACCACTGGTCAGAAATGGGCGCATTCAGTGGACTCAACAGTTGAGTGAGCGCTTACTGTTATTGGTGTATTCTTTTAGCTCATCCAATCAGAATTTTAGATCTAGAAGAATACATTAATAGCAGCGAGCGCTCACTCAACTGTTGAGTCTGCTGAATGCGCCCAATATGGTATGTTACTATAGCAATGTGATGACAACATGACGACAACTGATGATGAGGAAAGATACTAATGTCAACAAATTGTCGTCAATTTGTTGTAATTTGATGTCGAATTTATTTGAGTACAATGACGAAGCACCTTGGCTCGTATTTTTAGAAATTAATTGGTTGTCAGCAACATAACGGCAACCTCCAAAACTTGACTCTATCAATTTCGAGTATCTTTTATCTTTGTTCTTCACCGAATGTTGAACAAGGGTAAAAGATAATCCAAGTTGATAGAGTCGAGTTTTGGAACGCATCCCATTATGGACGACGTGAATTCTTGAGTGGTAACTTGATATCTTTCCATTAAATTTATTTGTAATTTTCTTTAATTTTACGATTTATAAAGTCAATTTAGCAAAGTGTTAATAGCCGCATATTAAGAAAGTTTCTTTTCTTCTTAATATAATATTATTGCGATGGAGATAAAATTTATATATATTTTGATATCTAAAATCAAGGTAGGATAGTGCTAAGTTTTAAAAAGTTAAAAAGTTGATTAATTTTAACTTAAACTTTTAATGTAATTAATTTCATTATGAATTAACTTGTATCTTAACCAAGTTAAATTTTTCAAGACTGTTAATTTAATTTAGTTTAAAAAAAAGGTTAAAGATGCTTTTTCATGGGCTTTTTCAGTTGACGCGTTGACGCTCAAAATCAGGGTAAGGATAAAGGTACTTTTTTATGCTGATGCTCGACGCTTATTTTCGGCGTCAAAATAAATCACGTGATAGACATTGACGAATATCAAGCGTCAATTTTGATTACATGGGATGTATTCCGAACCGGGTTAGCTTAGCTTATTTTTTCCTCTAGATGTTGGCAGTTCCGTAACTAAACCGAGAAGTGTTCCGCGAACCCGTCGGCTGTTATAACTCGTAACCAATATCAGGTATGTAAATATGAAACCGGAATTTTTTTATAGAAAATACACGTTTATTGCATGAAAATGATAAAAAATATTTTATTCGAAGTATTGCCCATCGCTAACTACACATTTTTCCCACCTGTCTGACAATTTGTGGATGACACGCCAAAAAAATTGTTGCTCTTTTGAGCCAAACCAGTCATCTAGCCATTTTCGTACATCTTCCTAAGAAGTGAAGCGCTGCTGAGCAAGTGCGTGTTCCATCGATGCAAATAAGTAGTAATCGGATGGAGCCAAGTCTGGTGAGTAAGCCGCATGCGAAAGTATTTCCCAACCAAACGCCTCAATCGTTTCCTTGACCAGTTTTGCTATGTATGATGGTGCATTATCATGAAGCAAAATCACTTTGTGTTGCCTTTTTTGATATTCCGGTCGTTTTTCACGCAAAGCTTGATTCAAATTGATCATTTGTTGTCGGTAGCGTTCAGTATTAATGGTTTCGCAAGGTTTTAGCAGCTCATAATAGATCACACCTTTCTGATCCCACCACACAGAGCATTGTCTTCCGTCCATAGCGATTTGGCCTTGCAGTCGATGTCGATGGTTCGCTTGGAGTTACCCATGATCTTTTACGTTTAGGATTCTCAAAATATATCCACTTTTCATCGCCAGTCACAATTCGATGGAGAAATAACTTTCTTTTGTACGTGGCGAGCAGCATTTCGCAAGTGGTTTTTCGGTTTTCCTGCTGTCTTTCATTCAGTTCATGTGAAACCCATTTTCCCATCTTCTGGATCTTTCCCATGGATTTCAAACGTATGGAGATGGCTTCTCGTGTCACATTCAATTGATCCGCGAGTTGTTGTTGAGTTTGAGCGTCATCCTCCAACAATGCTTGCATTTCGCTATCTTCAAACTTTTTCGGTGGTTTTCCACGTTCTTCGTTTCTCACGTCAAAATCGTCACTTTTGAATTTTTTAAACCACTCAAAGCACTATAATTTACCAAGAGCATGCTCACCGTAAGCTTAGACAAGCATTCGATGTGATTCTGCAGCAGTTTTCTTCAAATGGTAACAGAAAATCAATGCTGTCCGCAAATCGTAGTTTCCAGGCACAAAATTCGATATGTTCAACGCTATTACAAACTATACTGTTGTATGAAACTTGTATTATTGTGAGTTGAAAATCTTTGTCAGATGTCAGAACAATGGCGTCAATAACGCGGTCTGACGGCAACTACTGTGGCGTCACTCTGGTAACTTTGACTACAGCGCTGTAATATGTAGTATTCCTATCTAGATTCATATATATTATTAGAGACTGTTCAACTGCTAGTCAGTATTCTGTAACAAGAAACAATAAAAAAGTTATCGTTATACCAGACGTACTTGTTACCTGTTATTATAAAATATCTCAGCTGTGAATAGTAGTCTTTACTCGTCTACATACTATCATAAGTACTACAATTGGTGCCGAAACCCGCTTTCGAGGTACGAAATCCGAGAACAATCAAAAAACGTAGCGTCGAAAAACATGTCAACTGACGAATCAGGCGATTCCAAAGGATCGGAGATCCAGGCAAGCGAGTTCAGAAGCGCAAAATTGCCCGAATTTTGGCGTGATGAACCTAAATTATGGTTCGCGATGTTTGAACGCGAGTTCGCGGCTTATTGCATAAAGTCCGACGCGGTAAAATGTGCCGCGGTAATTCGCCATTTACTACACTACATTGATAGCTATGGCCATCTATTGGTAAATTCCGGTTTCATATTTATATACCTGGTAGAAGCCAGTAGCTGAGTTCGACGGCTGATGGGTTCACTTCTCGGTTTAGTTACAGAACTGCCCACATCTAAGGAAAAAAATAAGCTAAGCTAATCCGGTTCGGAATACACTCATGACACAGTATATACAGTAGCGCAACTCTCCCAATTCTAGCGTGTACAAAATCGAATTGTACATGCGCGAGCTAAGTAGGTAACCAATCACGTAACTGATCCTCTATCACACTTCCTCTCTCTAGTTTTCTATAATTCTCTCGGTCACATTTAAATGTCCATATAAACCATAAAATTCATATAAAACGCAGTAGTGAAATCGGAGCAAATTGGAGTGAGCATTGAACAATCGAAGCCGTGTTAATATAAAACGTGTAAAGTGTTCGGTGAATAGTAACGTGTAAAGTGTTCAGTGAAAGAAGTGGAAAAAGTGAAAATTAATATTGACGGTGTCGAAAACGAAGGTTATGTTCACTTCGGAGAATAGTTAATTTGTATAAGGATATACAGATTTTCAATTCTCTGCCAGTAAACACATTTGATCTTAGCTTTGTTGCAGGTGCTGCTTCTTAGAAGATACAGAAAAATCAAGGAAAAAGGATGTCGACCCATAAATCAAATTTATGGTGTGTAATGAAGGAGTGCAATTACAATGTTACAGAGAAAAGACACTTCTTTATGTTTCCAAAGGAATGTGATAGGTATACATTTATTTTAATTATTTTTTAAAGCATGTATAAATCAGTTATTATTTTAAATATTTATAATTTTATATTACAATATGTATGTGTGTACTTTTAATTTTTTAATATTCTTTTATATATATGTACATATGTATAAAATGTATGTATAAAATGTATGTATAAAAAAACAATATTTTATATTAACTATTTCTGTTAAATTTATAGATGGTTGCAGTGGATACACGCATCTGGAAGATTTGATTTACAAGTGATGGGCCCAGAATACGCTCATCGCAACTATCGACTGTGCCACTTGCATTTTGAAGAAAAGTGGTACAAAATAGGCAAATGTAGAGCCAGTCTTCTTCCTAATGCTGTTCCAACAATATTTTTTGGAAGAAAGTAAATAATAAATTTTTTATAAAGCATTTTCTACTCTGAATAACATAGTTTTTCTTAAATAGTAAATTTATCATGTATAAATTAATATTACAATTTTTACAGCAATACACCTGTAACATCATTTCAAGAAGAAAATATAACTGAAAAAGATCAGGACAAGATTCAACAAGAAGAAACGA